ACCTGTGCTGCCTCCTTGCTGCTGCCGTTGGCCACTACCTGTATTAGTGGCACGATTTTCCTTGCCGTGGAGTGACTGGCTGAAATCAATCAACGCCCGGAGTCCATCCAATGTCATCTCCGCATCACTGATCCGCGCAGCTGCTCATACTCGTAAAGGTCAGGAAGGCTGTCCAGCATAATCTGCCTCATGTTGATATCCTTGACGTCGTAGCCGTAGCTCTTCAAGTCCGACTTGATCCTAAACATCTTGGTCAGGTGAATGCTCACATCGCCTGTTGGCGAGCACTTGAGCTCCTTGAGCTCGTCGCACTTCCGGAAAATGATGCTCTCCTTGATCACCGAGTCCATGCGCCTCTTGTAGATCTCGTTCACCTCCGCCCACATCTCAGTGCCGGTCTCCAAGTGGTCGACCTGCTGCAGGCGGGGTGGCGGTATCGCCGACGCGATCATGCGCTGGATCTTGCGCTGTGGGCGATCAAAAGCTATCTTTCCTTCCGCAGTGCTGAGTTGGTCTCTCTTAAGCCTGCCTTCCGCGATGTCAAATATCGCATACTCCTTGAACGTTGTCCGCGGAAGCCACTTGCGCTGACGCCAATCGATCTCTTCGCCGTCGCGATTTGAAGGAAAGCTGCTGGACCACTGGTCTTTGGCCTTGTCCAAGAGCGCCAGCATGTCCTCGCGTTGTTGATCCATTATTTCTTGGCGTTGTATGATTATTTCCTGAGCGCTCGCTTGGGCTCATAACCCTGTTGGAATATGGGTGGTAAAATAGCAACTGATGTATTAGAACCAAGGCATTCTCCCTACACTTGCTCTTAGAATATGCACCTACCGAGACCCCCCCGAGGCTCAGAACCCCCCCCCGACCCCTTAGGACACTTTAACCGCCAACGGCCGTTCGGATAATCGTATCTGGATTCTTTTTTCAACAGAAGCAATATAGCATTTGACGCAACGCGTGTGGCATTGCAAAAAAGCTTCGTAGAGCAAGATTCCTTTGATTTCAAATGCCGCTTTATCAAAAGAATAGTTATACGTCTGCAACGCTATTCCTTACTCAGCACTGGGTGTGTATCTGCACTGGAATATCTTGTGGTGGCATCTCATGGTGAGATTGTCAAATTAAGAATACTCTACAGGCTGATTTTACCTCTTTGTTTTGTGCCTCAGGCTCGGATGTTAGATTTAAAAAGAAATCGACCAGATACACTGGCGTTGCCGCGCATCACGCACAGAAGAAGCTTTGACACACCAGTCCCGGCTGGATAACATGAGTTTGTACGCTTAAACAGAAGCAAAACCAAGTGCCTCCCAAGTAAGTGATACTGACAAAACTTCTATCTCGTACGTGACATAAACTAGAATGTGGTATAAATATAAGCTTATACTATGTATGCTTGACGGCCTTAACTTATGTATCACATTGCGTGAGGCTAGCATACCACGCGCCGCACGCTCCTTTCCTCTATAGAGTCACATCACCTTCATCCTTACTAGTACCTGGTATTTCTGAGCTTCGCGTAACGTTCGGGACACAATTGTAAATTGCATCTGTAATACTCCCTCCGTACACATCCCTGTGCTTCATATTTTCTGCGATTTGCGACAAAAGTAATGATGAACGAGCATCCACTGCGCCTTGGGATTCTTCTTCGCTACTTATTCCTTACATCGCCAAATTTTTCACCTCAGGATCTCAGAGGTCCCGACGTTAAAACAAGAGGTTTATCAACTGGAGCGGCTTAGTGATTGTCCGAGTCCTGATTGAACTTCACCAAGGTTTTGGTGCCCTCTACGTCCCGCCTCATCTCTGCCCGATGCCACGGACATCGTTTAATCTTCATGCATCAAAAAGAATTCTTTCACCTCGCCATAAGGTTCAAGAAGATGCCTATCTTTTCAATTGAGCAGAATTTGAATCAGCATCTATTTGCAGACGCTAGAATCGCTGCAGACCCCGCAGACCCAAACGGTCGTACTGTTGGATTAAAAATGTTATAGGTCCCTGCTTCGTCGCGGCGGGGCAATTAAGCCAATTCGTGCAGCTTTTGCTTAAAACGTGACCGAAAGGTGCGCTCATAGTGACTAACCGGGGGCTTTTTAACTCCAGATGTCACCATGTCTTTGCATTTCCTACTCCCAGAACAGTAAGGGCTGGGTATATTCGCCATCTTAGAGAAAGGTATCTCTTGCACGAATTACATGAAAATATCTTGAGAGCTCCGTTCTATATTTGCGCACTGGGAGAAGAAGGCACGATCTTTCGACTTACGTTACTGCAATCCAGCTTAACAGTAGGTATCAAGATCAGAACACCGATTGATTGTTGACTATAGTAAATGTCACGATCAGAACACCGGTTGATGGTTGGATATGCAAAGTACAAAGGATGACCACCGCCGTGGTAGACGTTCACCACTTCAAGCTTTTGCTGTGTGTAGCTCTGCTCAAACACCTGAGCCTGTTGCATCAGGTACATGTTAATTCTCAATATGAACAAGGCCGAACCTTAATTACAATATAAAATTTATTTGGTTGGCTGACCTGTTTTTACTTGAGAAAATGAAGACAGAGGTGCGCTAAGTTGCAAGTCGCAACTTTACCTGGGCAATCTTACCAAATAGAACCCTGAAAAGCCCTCAGATTAAATGCATCTCATCCACTTTATCAAAGTAATAGATTACAGTTCGGTGAGCCCACCGAATCGCTATCTGCTTCACATAAAATAATGCATCTTCAACTTTTGAGTACGGCCGGGAGCAATCCTTACCACCATCAATTTTCGTGAACACTTTTAAATTATAGTGGCACATCGATTCTCACCTTCAGTATGTCCATGCAAACTGTGCTCATATAGTCTATCTTTAGTATGCGCTTCCTAAGCTGCGCAATCGTACCGATTGGCTTCAGTCGCTCAAAGGCCCCAAAACCAAACTGTTTCTTGAGAGCAGAGGGTAGCTTGGTCACAGGCGATCAACGTTAGATTCAAAATTTCCAATATAATTCTCCCCATTTAAATGTATGCTGCGTTCTCTTCCGGTATTGAACTTAACCGCTTTTGCGACCCATAAATATGTTCCAAAGTAGTAAGGGTATACCTCAGGCTACAAGGCTGCAGACAGAAAGGTCAACAGCATTAAATATTTTTACCCACTATAAATCAATGTGTATTTTTGTTTGTCTCTGGTATTTGCATGATGGCTTGGCACGTCATGTTTTATAGCCATAGCGCCACGCTCTCGTGTCATGCACCCTATTTCGTCGCGATTTAGTCACTAATTTGGTTTCAAAATATAGCCGGGCATCCGCGTTCCTCACCACCGAGAACGTAGCCACTAACAAAGTGGTTTGATACACAGACACAACGCGTCCTGAACAGTTGTGATATATATACATTTATTTCACGTAGATGCGTTAGACAGTCCCTAAGGCACATAATCAGCTGTTTCCGGTGTATCACGCTCGAAGTATTCACTGAACTGAGAGAAATATCCTTTTCCCTCGTGAATCTTTGTTGATAAACATCAATCAGGTAATTAGCACTTTTACGGTGCAACTGACCTTGCTATCTGTAGCTCACCCTTTCATTAATTGACGTTTGCACCTGAATGAAGGCTGCACTAAACATATTTAATGATGCATGTTTTGCTACTTGCCTTTAGCAATTCTAGCTTTGGCAAATGACGTCAAGTGGGCCCTTTGTCATCAATTTGCTTCGAGCGCCGCACGAAATCGCCTATAAAGCTACACTGATATCTTGGTGAGAGCCATTGTCGTATAGCAAAATACTTGGTTTGATGAACCAGGTATTTATTACGCACTCCTCGATGCAAGAGCAACGTTTGTGGTGGGTTTGTCATGATTACACCATGATATTCCTCAAAGAGTTAATGCAATTCAATTGATCCTTAAGGATAGTGTTCTCACATACTACCGTAAAATCTTGTCTATGGTAAAGATAAACTCTAAATCCGCAATAAAGAATTGCTACTCTCCATAACCTCTCGAGACCAAATCTAACTGTTGCTGCCTTCCGAGTGAAACTCAAGGCGCCTAGCAATATTCATTGCTGTTGATTCCGAGCAACCCTCGTGTTGCACAGATGTTATCGCAACTTCATGCCCGAACTCAACGTTTTTTTTCACCTAGAAGAGATGGATATATGACTCACCAATTACGAAAGTTTGTGGCCCCTAATATTTTTTACTATTCACACCACATTGCGTTCCAGCCACGACATATTTGAATGTGATTACATCCAAATTCAGATCAAGGACACGACAGCGTATACGATACAAGTCTTCAAATATTACAAAAACGTATAATCCTCCGACGGTGCTCGTCTTAAGACACACGAATATCGTATCCGTATTCAGCATCCTCGAAACCTTAACTGTATTTGAGATTCGGGCGCCGTACGCAATTGATCGCCACTTTTGAATCTATCGGGAGTTTTCACATTCTTACAAAGCCCGGGATGGTAATATTGACCTGTAACAACCCTGGGCTGCGAGTCTTTTGTCCTTAAACAGTCTTATTTGTTTGGGCTAGACACCATAGAACTTGGTTTACACGATAAACAATAGCATCCGGATGTATCCCAGAAGGGCAAAATGTGCCTGCTTAGATTTGGCATTTCCCTACAAAGGGGATATCGATGCTGTGTGGGAGCGGGACTCTATCCATCCCTCGACGGGGCGGGATAAATACAAGTATGGCAAATACGTTTAAATATGCCGCAGATGTAGCACCTGCGATTATCAAGAAGGTGCTCGGTAGGGTAATGGTAACGATATGTTTGATTTCTCTTTTATGAGGTTGATGATACCTGAAGCACTCATAGATTCCTCGCCTCCCACAATTAATCCAGACCTAGCTAAACCTAAATAGTTGAGTTAACTATTATTTCTTTCGGCCACGCCACAGACAAAGAGACAGCGCATCACTATCGCAGCCCCTAGCAAGGAGGCCACATGAGCAGAATCTCAGCGGTAGAGATATCCAAAACATGGGAAGTGTGGAAGCGACAAATATCTAAGACGTTTGCACTGCCTTACCGTAAAATCAAAATTATAGATTGCATACTCTTTAGAGGGGCAAAACCTGGCGGACTGTGTCGAGAATTAGAGGTTCCTTTGTCCGCGACGGCGGAGAATTCTCTCTCGAAAGCAATACCAACAAGCCTCCGTCTTTATGAACGGTTACCGGACAATATTGGAGGAAGCAGAGCGCGTCGCATCAATTGTGTAGCTATTCTCTCATCCAGAATGAGATGGTTTCTCTGTACATTCGTCAAAGAGATCGACAGCTTACCATCAGCGGTCTCACAGAAGGTGTCATACCACACCTAGCCGAGTCGATGGTTTCCCACCGTCAAATTCATGTAGCGAGGAGCACGTTTGTGCGGTGCAATTTCTTCTTCCGGTCCTTGAGATTTGTCCCAGGAACAGATCATTGCACAACTTACACATGGTGTATAGTCCATTATAGCTCAATCAAATCGACTACAGTTTTTGCCAAATGCAACGGCGTTGCTGTGCACTTGCTACTGGGAATGCTTGGTCTCGAAAAGGCTGTATCAGTAAAGCATGGTTAAGGGGCTCGAAGCGGAATAAGAGTATAAAGGTGTTTGATATTGAACTTTCATTCACGTAAAGCTACTTCAAAAATGGTTCTCGAATGTCTTTACACTAAAAGCAACCTCACCGTAGATGACCGTTGGCTGTATGTCCTAATGTATCGTAATTCTTGGTCAACCTCAATGCACAATTCAATGCCATTTGGGGAGACAATATTCATTTCTAAAAAAATGGCGTTACTACTACCCCTTTCTTAATTGTGAAGTTCAGCACATTTACTTCGATATGGGATTCGTGATTATGAAGCAAATGTAAAGAGTAAGAAATACCACATTCAAAGGCGTTTTATCAGAGCTATTCGATGTCTAAAACATAAACAAGCTCTTGTAACCATACGATGCGGCCCCGGCCGCCATAAGTTCCATCTTATCGACCACATTCTGAAGCAAGGCATCGCCATGCCGGATTTCTATTACCATCGCTCCTCGGATAACTAATAAACGCGGTGAAAAATATTTATGAGCTATTCGAGGTTATCAGTTATCCGAGCTTTTCTGCGAATTATTTTCGAAGAGGTAATATAATATAACGCTAACACGATTAACAAATGCGCAGAGGCTCGAGGTCTGCAATCAAAAAGCCAAAAATACATTTGGTGAGTCAAAGGGTGCTTGCGACATGGGCTACTCAGAATATTTGCGCTGAAACCACTCAATCTGCTATTTGTAGCATCCTCAAAATAAGTCGCGAGCTCGAGACCATGACTAATGCCGATTTTTCGGCCAAACTGTCCCGCACATCACTCGCAGCTCGATGACGCCTTGGCGACATGGGTGCTTCAATGCCTGACAAGACATGTAGCCATCACTGGAATTCTCATCAAAAGTACGTCTGAATGCGTTTGCCTTTGTGGCTGCATCAAAATCAAAGCAAACGTCTTTGCTGATTGACTTGGCTTGTGTGTGGATGCAAGCAAATATTCCAATGGATGGCTGTAACGCTTTCAAGAGAGAAACAAGCTGTGTTGCATCAGAATCCATAGTGAGAATGGTGCAGCAGATCCGGCAGTAATTGATGCTGTCCTTCTTGCGCTTTCAGCAGTCATTGCTCGGTATGGGCTGAAGGATGTGTTTAACATGGATGAAACTGGGATGAATGCTAGCAAAGTACTTTGCATGGGAGCTCCTTGATTGAAGTCTTTGTACGATTGTTTCGGTTCAATGTTCCAGAAATCACCATCGCACAACAGCAGATTGAGGGACGTAGACAAGACAGAGTAAGTTTGTTCGCATACAATTTATGGATTTCAAATGAAAAGGCTGACTAAGCTATCATTCTCTCTTCTGCATCATAGAACCGCATCATCATTGCCTTTGCTGCCAACGCAGATGGGTCGGAGAAGCTCAAGCCTTTGTTCATTGAAAAGACCAATAAGCCTCGCTCATTCAATCGTAAGACAGGAGAGCAACTGGGTTTCAATGATCACAGCAATAAGAAAGCGTGGATGACCAGCGCCCTCTTCCAGTAGTGGTTGAAAAGGCTTGACAACAACATGAAGGTACGCTTTGGATGTGCTCTTAACTACTTCAATCTCTGTTCTTTTAGGCCAAAGATAGATGGATCCTTCTTTTACTAGAAAACGCCACTTCTCACATAGTTGACGATCACCGGGTGAATAATGTCGAGGTGGTCTTCCTTCCTCCAAACTACACGCCTAAGATTCAGCCCATGGATGCTGAAATAATCTTCGCGTTTAAGCGATATGGCGGAAAATATCATCACTAAAATGCTGTTGATCGTGACAATCGAGGTATCAGCTAACCGCAATGAGATGGCGCAAAGCAGCTTGGGAGGAGATTTCAGTAGCTACCGTGGCCAATTTTTTTTGCCACACTGGTCTCTTTGCAGAGCCTCCTCATATATCGGTGCCCAATATGGAGGGCAATACATTGACCTGTGCGACGCTAGTCAGAGGCTTCCTCTTAAAAATCCCATGATATTTAAAGAGCTTTTGAGTACAATGATGGAGGACGACACAGCAAATCTGGATTTGAATAACAATGAGATTATAGCCGTGCTTCAAGAGGCGGAAGAAGAGGAGAATGACAATCAAGAAAAACGAAGATGTGGGAAAGCAAATAGTCACGAAATTAGAAAAGCTAAAAATCCTAGCAATTACTGCTTCACTGCTAGATGTGACGAACCCCACAAATAGAGTGGTATTCAGGCGCAAACCGGAAATGCAGAAATCTCTTAGAACGATGGCGACAGTCCAGACTACCATTGGCTTGTGGCTGGCTTCAAATTAGTCCAGCATGATTGCTTGGTACTTCATTGTCTTCTACATCAACAAAATTCATGTTTGTCAAAAATGTTAATTAATGCAATACCTACTTCTCGATTTGCGGCCTCGCTTGCACCACGAATTAAGATCACCCCAATAGTAGCCTCTTCCACTGTTCGCAATGGACGCCTCTGAAGCCCTCCCAGCCCCGACGGATGTCGCGATGGTCGACATCGCTTAACCTGATGCGGTTGCAATGCCCCTTGGGCAACCTGTTCTTCTTGAT